GCCGCTGGCTTAACTTTTTGAGTTACTCGCTTGTGTCGTTTGGGTAGCCCCCCATAGGGGGCCGTACCCTTAAAAAAGACACAGATACCACCCCGCCAAATTCCTCATCTGTCTCCTTTGGGTACGAGTTGCCGTCCACTATCAGCCGACCCCCTAAATCTTCCACTTCCACGATCCGACCTTCTTCCTCTGTGAGCAGTGTTTCATACTTCTTCTCGCGAAATCGTACCGCGCGGCCAGAGATAAGTAATGACTTAATCTGATCACTGGGTCTTGCTCCCACTGCGAGAGCTGCTCTGTTCCTTGGATCCCGAGGCTCCATCGTCTCAATCATAACCCGCGTCCCATCTAGTTTCTTAATGGACAACGTCTGGCTTCCATCCGGCCGTTCTATCGTCACCGCATGCACGTGGCTCAACCACGTTCTTCCCAAGAGCAGATCGGAGTTGCAGTTCTTGACTGCAAAGACGGGCAGGGTCACTCCTACCCCTTGGACCTCTATGGCTGCCTTGTGACAAACCCCAGTGATCTGTTGCTTTCTTCCATCAGCAGTCTCTATCTCGAATTGGTATGACCTATCGAGGCCCAGTCCAACCTGTACTGCCAGATCCTCGTCTATAATGACAGCCTCACTGCCGTTATCGATCACAGCATCTAGTACCGCTCCATTGTTTATGATCGTCTCCATGGCCCCACTACCAAGTATGTAAAACTTGTCTGATGGCACACCTTCCATCCCATCAAGAAGGACTGTCGCCATGCGATCCGCTCTGGCAATCCCCCCCGTTACTGCTACGGTAGGAGCTTCCGCCTTAGGGCCCCCCTGAGCCTCCTCTGATAGAGGTATGCGAGTCTTTCGTGTGATCATCTGTAACTCATCGCGAGCTGGCTTCGATGCCGCCAGGTACTCCAGAATAGAGCACTGCATGGGCTGCCGAAGGCCCCGTCTCAGTGGCTCGACCGTGTCAATCTCATCCAGCGAACTCTTCATCAAGAACTTCTTTACTCCCCGCTTTAGCGCCGCTTTAGCGGCGAAAGAATAACCTCCTCTCCATCGATCCGCTGCCCGCCGTCCTTCTCCGCCATCACGTAATCTGTGTCGGTCTTCTTCGATGTAGATCCTCTCGCGGACTTGGTGGCTGCACCCGTATGGGTGTGGTCGCCATGTCCCCYTTAAAAGTTATCTTGATGCTCTGACTCCTGACCAGTTCCTTTCCTCTACTCGGCTTTACTCTCCTTGCCTCGACATTCTCCTTCATCGAAGGGAACATCGATACATCTCCGAGATTATCTGCCCACTTGACGTACTTGCGGTCGTCAAGCACGACAAGCCCCTCATCTATTGCCCGTTTGAGGTCCGGGCAATCTCTCTTGATATGATCATTCCCTCTACAGTAGACGCAAGAGTTCCTAGGGGTGGGTGGTCTGTCGTCCGTGCCTCTGGACGTCGTACCTCTCGCCGCTCTGGGGTCAGGCGACTTGGGATACGGCTCTGATGAGGCGCCATATCTTCCTCTCTCATTCCGATCGCGCGAATCGTTGCGGCGGTCTCCCCCAGATCCTCCTGACTCATATCGTCCCCGTGAATCGTTTCGGCGGTCCCCAACGTCGTATCGCCCGCGTGTCTCATCGCACCGATCTCCTCGGCTGTACCACCCCCGCGAATCGTCGCGCCGCTCTCTCGCGTATCCCCCGCGGTCATACCATCCGCGCGAGTCGTCCCGTCGGTCCGCGTCTCGACCTCCTCTCTCATATCCGTCACCTCCGTAGCCATCACGATCCGTCCTCTCATATCTTTCGTCCCTATATCCATCCCGGTCTGATCGCTTATATCTGCAGTCCCTGTATCCGTCTCGTCGGCCCTGATCCGATTCCCACCGGCCTCTAGAGTCGCCTCTACCCCGATCGGCCTCATAACGAGGGCTACGCGAGTAATCATCCAGCCTCCTAGCTCGCCCATACGTCTCGCGAGCTTTGCGGTCCTGGTCTATCTCGTCATCCCTACGTCGTCATGGCTCATCATCTCTCTCCCTTTCCCTCGTACGATAATCAGTCAGCGTGCGAGGATTTCTGTCCTCGATACTCCTCTAGGAATCGGTGTTCCTCCGATCCCAGCGAAGTGAATAGGGCCTCCGGGTTTGTCCCGGTAAGTCGTGGCTCCTGTGCTTGTCACAATCTCTGCAACATGTCTCGTCAATCCCTTTACCATGTCCCTTATCTCCTTCACTTCCTCGGCCACGGCTTCACTCTTCTCCGACCAAGGGAGGTCCTTGAAATCATGGCATCTATATGTGGCATACTCCTTGTAGAGAGAGAAGTCACGTCTCCTCATCCCTCTCCACACTAAGTCCTTGTAGTCGTCTGCCTCTGCCTTTATCGCGAGCTTCAGGACTTCTAGGAAGTCAAGCTTGTCGCGCGAAAGATCTCTAAGTATACTCTTTTGTCTACATTTGGACAGGTGTCCGATGAAGATAGTACAGCGTTCGACCTCTGAGATCTTCCCCTTCTTCATCAGCACGTCGGAGATCTTCTGGAAGCGCATCCCAAAGACCCATACGCTCTCATCCTCATCTTGAGTCATCGTTTCAAGGTCCTTGATGGAGTACTTGTTATCCTCCAACTTGTAAAGCTCTACGAGGTTCTTTTTGTACGTAGTCCATTTCCCATCCTTGGGTCGGGCTTCCTTAACTTCCTTGCCGAG